TTTGGAACATGACAGGTGGTGTTGATAAAGGTATATTTTAGCTCATCTGACAGGACAGATTGGGAGTCGCTGTTCTATAGGATCAGAGAAATGGGTATTTGATGAGGTATCATCAGCAAGTGTTGAAATGACCACAACAGACTATATGCACTTATGTGGGCAGGAACCCCAAGAACCTCTAAGAGCAAGCAAAAGGGAAAAGTTTTGAATGAGAGCAAACTTAGGGAAAGAAAAGGCTATCACAAAAGAGTGATATATGCTTCTCCAGCATGTGTTTTATTTATTGTGTTTCTCTGCAATTGTCTTGGAGATGGTTATGGTGAAAGGTTAAGAAGGATCTAAAAAAAGTGAATGGGGTTTGGAGTGGATGTGACTTCTTCACAATGGAGTTCACAACCTTGAGGAGGATACAGGATATCATTTTGCTTTCCTCTCCAAAAGTCCATTAAGCAATAAGTGCAAATGTAAAAGTGGAAAATAAACCCTCCTCCAAAATGGATATCTGAGGAAGCTGCAGCTGTGTTAACAAACTGACATCCTATCATTCTTACCTGGACTGACTCTACATCTCTCTCATCCTCCTCAAAATAACCAGCCTCTCTGTTTTCTTTAGCACCTCAACCAAGACAAATGAAAATGAATGAGAGTGGATAGGCTTCATCATTCTATAACCTATAGTGTTATCTTAACAGTATAAACTGTATGTATCTATATATGTCACAAATTATCATCATTAATTCAGTTTGTTTACATTTTTCTTTATTCCTATATTTTATTTAAGGCTAGATCTCTTTCGTATTGTTACTCACAAAACGTTATTTTTATTTTTGATCTGAATCTCTTAACTTTTTACACTATGTACCACCTCATAAAATGTTAGGCTCTCCATGTACCATCATTATAACTGGCATTAAAAAGTAGCGTAGCCTGACCCTATTCAGCTATGGACAGGTCATGCAGGAGGCAGGTTCATTCCTAATATGATGAATGCTGTGAATGACAATCATTTCTCTTTGAGCTTCAGGTAACTCTGCAAAAACTGAATGAGCCTAAAAACATAATCAGACTGCCCAGGCGTTGGATAAAACTCAGGAGTTATCCTCACTGGGGATGAGGGGAACACAATCTCCATCAGATCCTGATATAAAAATATGATAAAATAACAGCATCTGCTTGGCCACATGTTTAAAGACTCCCTTGGCTCCACTTGACCGGACTTGGCTGACCTGTTAGTCTTGGGCTTAGCTGCTCCTCTGACTCACTCCTACATTATTAATGTGATCATGGCACCACAACATGGAAATTAATATCCCACCTTCCAGACCAGCTTAACCCCACGACCTCTTTGCAAAAGAGTGCTGGCGCCAGCCAAGAAGTTCACTCTGACAGGAGCAAAGGTTATAGTATCTCCATATCCCTTACTGCTGTCTATAGAAGCTGCAGATCATATGGGTGAATTTATTTTCTTTGTTTTATTTCAGTTGCAAAACAATTATCATGTAATTCTGATGTGGCATACCTTGTTTTGTTATGAGACATGTAGGACTGAAGGGATTAATTGGTTAATCAATGGGAAATGATACAATTATTTTAATAATACTTTAATTGTTTCAGTGCTATTTCAAGTAAATTTGCCAACCATTCTCAGATTCCAGTTTCTCCAATGTGAGAATTTGATGCTTTTTTTAAACCACATATGATAGTAAATTGAATATCTTTATAGTAAACTGAATATCTGAAATACCAAAAATGTATTTGTTCCAGCATCTCAAATGTAAATATTTGCTGGTATTCTGTTTTATGTAATTGTAAACTCTTTGGGTTTTGGACTGTTAGTAGGACAAAACAACGACGTTTAAACATGTCAACTTGAAATCAGGGAAATTGTAATGTTTTCACTATATTCTACCTTTTTAAAGACCAAATGACTTATCATTTACCCAAGAACATAAATGGAAGATGAATTAATAATGAACACACAATAATTGCTATTCACAGCCCTGTAAACTAATCTACCTGACTCCCACAGGCACACAGGGACAAACTAGTTGTTGAAGGCAAAGTCCCTGAACATAGTTATTAGAAGAGAAACAGCTCCTGCATCAAGTCTCGTGAATTACTTCTTTTTAGTGCCTGGGGTTTACATTGAGGACATAATTCAGTTCTTCCAAGCTGTACCATTAACATTGACAGTCGGCCCCCATAGCTCAGCACAGACCTTGTCACGATCTGTGACAAAACTTTGTCTGACAGCGAGTTTCTCCTTCAGCCTGAGTCAGTTAAAACACAGATTTGCTGTAAAGACCTTGAGCCTGCTTCATTGAGTTGAGATCAATAGCACGGCCTTCTCTGGCATACGGACGGACGGATTGGATGGACATATATGGAGAGGAGGGACAGAGAGCCGTGATGGATCAGCGTGGTAGTTAAGAGCCGGTCTGTCACAGAGGAGAGATGGGTGGGGGAGGTTAGCCAAACAGATGTTAAGCTCTGACAGTCTCTGCGGGTCACTGAGCAGGATCTTGGTTGATAAAAGGCGGATGAGGTTAAGAAATGCAGCTCATCCATGTAATAGCTTGTTACGACTTTCCCTCACTTTCCCGGCCATAAAGAATATATTTATAGAGGGCAAGGGGCAGACTTTAATACTGTTCTGAAACAGCGGTATAACCATAGAGGTCATAAATATTAAGGCAAACATGATGGTGCTATCTGGTGAAAGCCAAAACAGTGTGGGCATTCTTCTTGCACTTTATTTCTCTGAATTCAAGTTTTTCAGAAATCATTTACCAGTTTACCATGAAATCGAGAATGTTTTGAATACCTGTGATACATTACATGGGGCAATAATCCCCTTCTAGTATGAGCTGCATCTCAAGACCAGTAGCAAGAAGAGTTTTTTAAACTGAGACAGGTGGAAGCAGCCAAGTGTACAGAGCTGCCTTTCCATAGCACTGGGGTTTGGCGAACACCACAGAGGCAATCTTCTTAACCTTCCATGTGGGTCCACTTTACCCATCAATGAGACAGCACACTCATTGCTCTGCTGAAGGAAAAATGGATACAGTATATGTGAGAGGCAGACACTGTACTGAGTCAGATGTTTGCTTGTTAGTCCAATGGACATAAATTAAAATAAAATGAAATAAAATAGGCAAAACCTAATTAAATAATATGCTTACACATTTTAACCCCCCAATCTGTTATATATCTCCACAACAACACTTCTGTGTTTGCTTACTTTTAAATTATAGTGTGGCAGAGAATTAGTTTAAAAACTAAATAGAGCCACAGGGCAGTTAAACAGAAATATGTAAAATGAAATATGGAGCAGAGAAATAAGCAATGAGAAATATTTCCTAAGTGAAATAGCAGCTCAGGAAAAAAAAAAGCAGCCGTCATAGTTCAATAAGCTTCCTTACATAGCAGGAAGATGCAGTTTCCCTGGCTGGTTATTTTGAATCTATGTTCTCAGGCTGGGGAGGTTCCACTTGACTACATTTGATTCATCAGTCAGGAGCTGAAAAGAAAGTCAGGCCTGCATAGCATTCATTCCCCAAAGTCTACCAACCAGCCTGTGCTGTGACGCAACTCTGCACTGTACAGATTGTGTGCTTATTCAAACTTTTTCATCAATTCCTGATCTATTTCTTGTTATTTACCTGACCTTTCACGGTGTATAAATACTGTAAATAAGACAGAAGCTTTAAGTGTTGGCAACGTGGCCGAGCTACCACCAAAGGCTAATACACCTGACCTTTACAAAATGAACTTCAGCATCCTCAACGCAGGGTTCTGTAAATGAAACCATTAGCTAAAAGTTGGCTTTGACTAAAGCTTTCACATACATCGTGAAAATGACATGATTAGGTCCAGCAGCCTGCGGCCAGTCACACCAGTCAGTTGCCCACAGCTGAAAACTAAGAGGCAGAGTAGCCGTGACAGCAGCAGTGCGGCTCTGTCTCTTTGCTGTCACCCTTCAGTGAAGCACACAGCTCTCAGCAGCTCGCCTGACAGCGG